ACCAGTTTAGTCCTCAACTTACAACCGGTTGGGGGTCGCGGCATTAAAAAGGTTGAGAACCACTGCTGTACAGGTAGTCCTCGACTTACAACAGTTCATTTCGCGTCCGTTCAAAGTTACAAGGGCACTGAAAAAGGTGACTTGTGACCTCATAGTCACGTGATCAAAATTTAGATGCTTAATTATATGATCTTATTATTATTTTTAATATTAGTATTGTATTGTTTAATACTTAGGTGATGAATACATTTAATTTTAATTTGTTTAAATTTGTGTTAAAGGGGAGTTAAAGCGCATTATGGATTTGGTTACTTTAATAGTTGGTTAATGTTAGATAGATTTTGATTATTATATTTGTAACCCTGTGTTCAGCTCTGGGAAGTGGGGGAGGGTGAGGGTGGGGTTTTGGGGTGGGTATGGGGGTTTATACTGTAATCTTCATAAAACTTTTAATAATAAAAAAAAAATTTAGATGCTCAGCAACGGGTTCATAGTTATGACCGTTGCAGTGTCCCAAGGTCACGTGATCACTTTTCTGACCTTCTGACAAGGAAAGTGAATGGGGAAACCAGATTCACTTAATAACCGGGTTACTCACTTTATCAACTGCAGTGATTCACTTAACAACTGTGGCAAGAAAAGTCGTAAAATGGGACAAAACTCACTTAACAAATGTCTCACTTAACAACAGAAATTTTGGGCTCCGTTGTGGTTGAGGACTACCTGTATTTCATTTGGAAAAATTATCTCCCTCTCCTCCTCCCCAACATAATTAGTCATGGCATCATTTAAACAGCAGTTATCCTTAGTAAAGCATGATCAGCCAAGCTTATCCTCTGCTGTTTTCAAGTAAGGCTGCTGTTAAATACTGTAGCACTAATATAGCTGCTATTCCCTTTATTGGAAATAGCGAAACCAAGTACAAATTTAAAAAAATGCTGGCTAGAAAATTAAATATACGGCTGCGTAATCCTCATGTGCGGCAAGTACAGTCTGGACTTAAGAATGTTAGTTTAAGGGCAGTTCAAAGTTCTGATGACCTTGGAAAAAATGATTTACAATCTGGCCTTGTACTTACCCCGTTGCTCCCCCAACCCTGCAGTGACGTGATCACAATTCGGACACTTGGCAACTAGATCACATTTACGACCAGTTGCAGTGTCCTGCAGTCACGTGACCATGATTAGCGCCCTTCCCAGCTGGCTTCCTCAACAAAAAGGTCAGTCAGGGAAGCTGAATTTGTCTAGTGACCACGGGTTTAGCTTAACGACTGCAGTAAAAATGGTCATAAAAATCGGGTCCAGGGGTGACTTGCTTTACAACCATACTGACTCACGATGGAATTAGGACCCAACGGTGATCATAAACCGAGGAAAACCTCTATGGCATTGTACAAACGTACTCATATTTTAAAAAAAACTATAAAAATGACAGAATTGCATCAATGTTTTCATCCAAACTTTCAGGCCTTCCTCACCCCTTTAAACTAGTAAGCTTCCAACTCTGCATGGCCACATCTGAGTTCTCATCCTTAGCAGCAAGTTTTCAATTTCATGCTAATACTGGATGCCATAAAGGACAGAGAAATATGTGGGAGGAAAAAAAAAACCCCTCTTGGCCTCAGAAAGTGGGCTGCTTCTTTTTTGGGTAGCCACTAACATCCTTTTCCAAAATATTATTTCTGCTCCAGGTCTAGATTTTCAGCTCCTATGGCTGGCAAATGTAAAATGTACTGAGTTTTGGTATACCCAGCACACAACGATCTAAACTGGAAGCGCTATCAAAATAAATGCATGAAATCATGCATAAGCAACGAGATGCTTGAAGGTCCATCCGTGCCTGTGTTTACCTCTCTACTTTATCCTTTTGTTTTTTAAAGGATGGGGAGGACTTGCTTTGACTGAAACAAGAGTGGTAAGGGATATATGGAAGCATCCTTCCCATTTACCTTTTGACTGAGTGTTTTGTAACAAGCCCTCCTATGGGAACTCCATGAGTTTTTCAAAAGGGTCCTCAATGTTATATAGCAGTGATGGCAAACCTTTTAGAGACCGAGTGCCCAAACTGCAATCAAAACCCACTTATGTATCGTCAGGTGCTGGGTGGGTGTGGCCCATTAGGTGGGTGTGGCCCATTGGGTGGACATGGCCCACTGGGTGGGCGTGGCTTCGGTGGTAACGGCAGACTGGGTGGGACTAAAAAGTTCAATCAATCAATTCCAACTTTGCGAAATCTTTTTTTTCCCCGCGAGAAGTTGAAATTGATTGATTGATTGAACCTTTTTTTTTTGCACACGGCAGCAGAGGCCTAAAGCGAAAAGGTTTTATAAAATCCAGCTGAAGGCCTAGGACTGGGGCGAGGGCTCACGTGCCCACAGAGAGGGCTCTGCGTGCCACCTGTGGCACGCGTGCCATAGGTTCACCACCACGGCTATATAGCAACTATTTCCAATGAAAATCAGCAGATTAAAGGCCTGGGATATTTCCGGGAACATTGGAAAGTTCAAATTAAAAAAACAACAACCCATTATATGGTTGTTGTTTTTTGATAACTCACAGGCTATTATTTACCTGTTCTCACTTGTTTTCAGCATCAGCATGTCTCCAGAAATGAATCCTGGTAAACATTTTGTTTACTTACAAACAATTCTGAACAGTGGCAAATGCTTAACAGCTGCTGACTGGAAAAAAATATTCATTTATTAAAACCGCCAGGCAAGATGGAACCTGCACTCTGCTTAAGTAAGACCAAAGCCTTGGCAGAGATGTTAATCTTCAAGCAAGCCCAACACTATCCTCTAAAATCCCCTGAGCTTTTTTCCCACATACAGCTATCTCCCCACACACTTCTGGGTCTTTTTTTTTCTTGAGAACAAAATCAAACAAAAATCACACTAGAGTCTACAGAGGAGGAGGCTCAAATTGGAAAGGGTTGTTAAGAAAGCAGCAGCTAAGATAGGGCAGTTCAAGCCTTGCTATAATTTTAAAACATTCCTGGGATTTCAAACACAGTCAAGCTTAAGGCAAACATCTAATTTTGCTAGGGAAAAGATCTTATTTATATCCTATATTTCAGAAACAAACGTTGTGTGTGTGTGTGTGTGTGTGTGTGTGTGTGTGCGCGTAGGGCAAATAATACAGATCGTCCTCGACTTATGACAACAATTGAGCCCAAAATTTCTGTTGCTAAGTGAGACAGTTGTTAAACGAATTTGGCCCCATTTTACGACCTTTACCTTGCCACAGTTGTTTAAGTGAATCACTGCAGTTGTTAATTTGGTAACATGAATCTGGCTTCCCCATTGATTTTGCTTGTCAGAAGGTTGCAAAACGGGATCCCCTGACCCCAGGACACTGCAACCGTCATAAGTATGAGTCAGTTGCCAAGCAGCTGAATTTTGATCATGTGACCATGGGGATGCTGCAACGATCATAAAGTCACTTTTTTCAGTGCCGTTGTAACTTCAAACGGTCACTAAATGAACTTTTGTAAGTCAAGGGCTACCTATAAATGAAATAAAAAAAAAACTCACTGACTGCATAGAACTGATAGCTTATTTTTCTCAATTGTGCCCAACCCAGCACTGAAGCAACTAATTCTAAGAAATACCCAAATGATTTCAACAGTATCTTACGCGTTAAAAAAAAAAAGTTGGTAGAATAGTTGGTTGTTCCCAAATTCCAAGCAGCTAACATACAATAAACATACATTTCAAGACAATTAAAGCAGAATACCCATAGTTAAATGTTCAAATATGAAAAAGAATACAAATGGATATAGCTGTTAGCTTTCAGTCAAATATAGGAGATTTTGAGCATTACAGAAATAAATACAGAAAGCTGCCTTACAGCTGGTCATTCAGCCAAATACCATATATACTTCAATTAGCAGTTGTTCTTAACACGTGCAAATTGAGACTTTAACTTGATCTGTTTTGAATCCTTTTAAAAAGGACTGAATCTATGCCCCTAAATGGATTAAGGCATAAGCAAGGATCCAAAGAGGTAACTCCTCATAGATAAATTGGGTTTTCACTGATAAATTATAAAGTCTCTTAAACTGTAATAATAGCCTTGTTGCTCAGCCTACAATGGAAACTCTGCACGTGTGCGAGAGCCAGTTTGAGTCTAGTTGTTAAGGCATCAAGCTGGAAACCAGGAAACTGTGAGTTCTAATCCCAGTTTAGACATAAAAGCCGGCTGGGTGATTTCGGGGCTTATGACCCTTGTCACAGGGCTATTGTTTGGGGAAAATAGGAGAAGGAAGGTGTATTAGGGTATGTTTGCCACCTTGGGTTATTCATAAAAATGATAAAGGCGGTAAGTAAGTAAGTAAGTAAGTAAGTAAGTAAGTAAGTAAGTAAGTAAGTAAGTAAGTAAGTAAGTGAGTAAATTCTTGTTCATAGTTAAAAGCTAAAAGAAGCCTACTACCTGAAAATTCAAGCAATAACTATTCAACTGTAGGTTTTTACTACAGTATGCAGCATTCTGAGAAGCTCTACTATAAAGGTAGTTTGAAAAACTGAGTGCAGTTTTTAATCTCAAATATTTCATTAACAACTTCCCCAACCTCTTTTCTTTCAGAAATTTCAGCTTCCTTTCACCCACTGAGTTGGTGAGGTTCCCAAATGCATTTAATTTCCAGAACATCTGATCTTCCTAATCAATTCAAATATAATTAATTTCAGTAACTAATTCATTTGCCAATGGAATGTATTTTTCTGTCCTCGTAGCACTTGTGGAATACTTCACACAAAGAGTAATCATGGTTGCTAATGTTACAGCAACGGTCATAGTTCGATATCTCTACAAGCACATGGTTTGAAGCAGGCAAATGCAATGCCCGGCCCCTAAATTGTTTCTTTTTTTTCCCTTGCAATAGTCACATTTCAATTAAGTTAAAGCTACCTGCAATAAATCTCCTCTCGTTCACTAATGACTGGCAGATTTCGCTAATGAATGACAAACACACCAAGGGAGGAAAAAAATGCAGTGACTTACGATGTTCCTTGCTGAGAAACAGACAAAGTCTTCAAAGGCGCATCACACTGCTCTGAAAGACACCAAGGGTGGAGGGGGGGGAGAGAAGGTTTTGGGCGATGAACATTTCTGATCTTTTGCATTGTTTTCTATTGCCTCTTCTCTCTTTTTTTTTCTCTCTCTCTGTATGACATTTAGGATGGGGATCTTTAATTCATGATATATATGTCTTAGGCCACACTACAGACCTGAACATTTTCTGTTTTTATTTTTATTCTCTGGGTAGGTAAAAAAGAATGATACCTCCCTAAATAGTCTCAAAGGTGCTTTCCCCCCCCCCTTTCAAAAGGCAACGGGACTGTTTTTTCCTTGAGGAAAACATTTCACCTCTCATCCGAGAAGCTTCATCAGTTCTGATGGGGGAGAGGGGATTTTTCTTCTTTTGAAGAAAAAAGCACCACTGAGACAACTATGATCTGGATGACTGAGAATCTCCACAGACGTTTTTACCTCCAAACAGGTTGAGTGATTTTAAAAAGGAACTTTATCCAGAGTTTCGTTTGTCTCTGCCTCATTAAATACAGTAAGGTGGGATAAATATAAACTGACTGTAGCTAAAAACAGGCTAGCTTGAGGTAAAGGCTGCCACTGAGAAAGGAGTAAGAATCCATCAAGGTTTTGTCTTTTAAAGAGAGCAGAATTAATCCATATTGTCTTCTAATATTCACTGCATTGTCACATAAAAAGACATACAAATTGACTATGTTTTAAAGGAGGATAGGTGGATGATGCAGGAGCAGTTTCCATGTCAAAATAAGCTGAAGCAGCAGATTTCAATATTTTATCACTGCTCCCCATCTCCATATGCATCTTCATGCTTTCCTTTTCACGTCTTATGCAATGTGCTAGTGACACAGTAGCACATACATTTTTTTTTAAAAAATGTTAATCTTATTCTTTTTTTTAAAGCTTAAGTTTTATTGATTAAATTGAACACTGCCCAGAGGGAGTTGGCAGTTAAAAAAAGTATGAAATGTAAACAAAAGAACAAACAAATAATGAATGAATGAATGAATGAATGAATGAATGAATGAATGAATGAATGAATATGCCTTGTGATATCTAAAAGGAGTAGAACATGGAAACCACCATCTTGGTTTCCTATAAACTAGTGGTGGCGAACTTATGGCACGCGTGCCAGAGGCGGCACTCGGAGCCCTCTCTGTGGGCACGCGCACCGTTGCCCCAGCCCCGCCTCCCCCCGTGGCCCCCTCCTCACCAGCAGTCCCCCTGGAGGAGAGTTGCCCCTGGGCACAGCCCACACAGAGCAGCGCAGCCAAGGACATAGCCAGGAAGCAGCGACAAGACTCCGCCCTCACGCCCCATAGCGTGCAGATGCTGCTGCGGGGTGTGGGTGGAGGGCGTCGCTGCCATGGCACTGCAGGGCTGCCTGGGTGATCTGCTGCGGTGGGCCATGGAGGCGGTGCGTGGCTCTGCGGGTGGGTGGGGCAGGTGGGGGCAGAGCAGGCAGGGCGAGAGGCGGAACGGGGGTGGGGGCAGTTTTTGGGCACTCGTTCTCTAAAAGGTTCGCCATCACTGCTATAGACCAAGTGCAAATACTTTCGACAATGAGTTGGAACAAGGCATTCTTTTGCAAAGGTAAAGGTTTCCCTGTCAAGTTGTGTCCAACTCTAGGGCAGGCTGCTCATCTCTGTTTCTTAGCCAAAGGAGACAGCACTGTCGGAAGACAATTTGCGTGGTCATGTAGCCAGCAAGGCCATACGCCCAAGGAACACGGAACGCTGTCACCTTCCCACTGAAGTGGTACCTATTTATCTACTCGCATTTGCATGCTTTCAAACTGCTGGATAAACAAGAGCTGGGCCAAGTAATGGGAGCTCACCCTGTCGTAAGGAGCTCAGGTCTTAAACCCGGGCTATCAGCCCTCCAGCTGACTAGCTCAGCGTCTTTAAGCTCATTTTCTGCAGGCCTTACAAAATCCGGGCACCCTAGGCATTCCCACCTATCGGATGGTGAGTGGAATGTCTTTATTTCTTTCACAGTGGTCCTTCAAATAATCTCAACATGGAAACTTCGGCCCAAACAATGTGTTGCTCATAGGCTGAAAAAGTTTCATGGTTTAATTTCCATGAAAATTGGATTCTTGTTAGGAATCTTGTAGCACTGTAATGATGGGGGAGGGAATGCATAGTTGATACAAAGGGGATGGAATTTCAGGAGGCAGGAGTAAAATGTATTATTCTTTAAGAGATAATGGGGTTAAAAATAATATGGAGGGACAATGAAACTGACAAACCGGAATCTTAAAGAGTCTTGTGTTAGAAATGCTGTAGAACTGGTGAACAGTGCAGAAACTTTGATCAGAGGACTTCCATATCCTCATCTCCTAAAACTTATCAGAACCAGAGATTGCTATACTTAATCTCTAGCCCAGGGGTAGGCGACCTTGGCTTTTTAATGACTTGTGGACTTCAACTCCCAGAATTCCTGAGTCAGCATGGCTGGTTCAGGAATTCTGGGTATTGAGGTCCACAAGTCATATAAAAGAGCCAAGGTTGCCTACCCCTGCTCTAGCCAAAAGCCCGAGAAGCCACTCCTTTTGTTGTCTATGAGAATTCAGTCATCCAGGTCATGGTTGTCCCAAAGGTGCTTTTTCAAAAGGCAAGTAGACTTTCTTCTTCTGATTTTCCTTGAAGATGTTTCGCTTCTCATCCAAGAAGCTTCTTCAGTTCTGACAGTCAGAACCGAAGAAGCTTCTTGTATGAGAAGCGAAACGTCTTCAAGGAAAAACAAGAAAGTCCACGTGCCTTTTGAAAAAGCATCTCTGGGACACTCCCTTTTGTTCACGCTTCATGTTACACAAATACAAATTCTATGTAATCTGTCAAAATGAACAAATAACAGCAGAATGCAGCAGTTTATAAATTTAGACTGTCTTTATACTTACTCTGGCTCTGAATTACTGATCCAGGCTGCTGGGTTTCCTAAAAAGCAAAAAAAAGGGGGGGAGGATTTTTATCTACAACCCAATAATTTTAGCAGTAAAATAAACATAAGCAAACTTCAACAAACTAATGTCCCACTTTTCCTTTTTATATAGCAAGAAAAATACTGCACTATTCCCAGTTTTTCTTCTTTATTATTATAATAAATATTTATTTCTTTACAACTGTCATCATCCTATTATTACAGCATCTTTACACTGCGTGGTACTTTCCATAGTAAATGGAAAAGAACAGAAAAGAGAACAAGGAAATTATGCATTTATTTCATTTATTTGTGTCAGGAGCAAAAAACAGAAGCCAGGATAGAGTTCAGAAAGTACTGCGAGTTTATTTCAAGCAAGCTACACCCAAGAATCTGAATTACTAACAGTCAAGGCAAATTGGAGCTAGATAAGAATTAGGGACTTCAAGTGGGGCTGGACTCAGGTCTCTTTCAGGAGCATACTGACTCCAGACTAATGATGTGTTTGACCCCACCTTTGATCATCTCCTACAATTTGTTTACACATGCCAACATATACCACCAGCTCTCATGATGGTTTACAAAACTAGCAGGTAGGGACAAGAAGCTGTAGAAGAAAAATGTTTTCAAATGCGAAAGAAACGGGACAAAAATCAAAGTTCTGGTAAGCAATTCCAACATGTTATAGGTAGCCAAAAGCTGTGAGATTATTGACATCAAGTAATGGAGCACAGTGGCTTACGTGGTTAGGATGCTAGGTTGGAGATTAGCAAGCCCGTGTTTAAGACCCGAGTGCTGCCATGGGATGGGGTGAGTTCCCATCCTTCGCTCCAGTTCCCACTGGCAACATGAAAGGAGCTGCCAACTGGGCATCCCCTGGACAACGGTGATGTCACCAGCTAATCATTTCAACCCGGAAAGCCGTGGTGCTTCTCACATGAGTGCAATTGACATTAAGTGAAGTAACTCAGGAATTATATGTCTTTGGGCACAATGAATAAATCCAGTGTAGCCAACTTGTTCTGGATGCCCTACCCAACTCTTAAAATAATCAGGCGTATGGGCATAATGGATAATTCTGTGAGTTGCATCTACCCTTATGGAGTGTATTCCCAGGTTCTAGAAGATTTAGGGAATTTGGGAGTTAAAGGAAGAGAAGTTCTGAATTATGACATTCTACTATGGAGCAACTGTACATATCATGATTTTTAGGAAGACTATTACCTGTCTTGATCATAAATGACTCACCTTTTAAACTACATTTTAATCAAAAGAATGATGCCAAAAACATAAAGAATATTTACATGCCCACAGAGATTAGTTCAAAGTAACAGTTGCACGAAAGAAACTATCCTTTTATAATTACTTGTTTTGACCTGAAAACCTTTTCTCTATGCTAGAAACAACACATGCCAAGAGGAGTTGAATGACATGTATTTTCATACATTAATTCATATAGATGGAATGAAAGATTTTGTTCCTTCACCTTTACAGGAAATGGAAACTTTGAAGGCTCAGCTGTGCTAGGAGTATGGATGGCTGTCAAAGGAGGTGGCCATGAATGGGTCATTTCCTGGGAAGAAATTGAGAAGAACAATAATCAGCTCTTAATTCCTAACTTTATTACTTCCTCAGCTGCAACAAAAATAAGAAAACCTTCCAACAGTAACACGGGGATGTAACTGAAACATTATTTTTCTAGCCTTTTGCTGCCTAGAGGTGGAAGTGATCTTTGAAACTATCATCAAAACAGTCAGACTTTGATGCCTTAATATTTGAACACTCTCCGTTCAGAGGAATGCACGCTAACCTTCTCTTCTACTGTCACATTCCTTTATCTTCTATTCCTCTCCAGTTTTGAATGTGATAAATAATGGCAATGAGTGGGGCAGCATTAAAAGAAAGAGCAGGAATATCACAATATGCTTAGGAAACCAGATCAGAATTTTGTTCTTTTCTTTCTTTCTTTTTTTTCCTGATTTTAGTTTGTACTACCTTTTAGTATTGGAAAACTCTTTAATCAAAAGTATTTTTTTTAAAAAAAGGAAACCCAATGAAAATAAAATCAGTGTTTTTTGGATTCCCAACTTGACCTGTGCTAAGACAAGGAGCCCAGCAGGATACAAGAATGCTTTTTTTGTAACCAATAAGCCCAAAATTTCAAAGAATGATAGCTCATCCGCTTAGATAAACACAGACAATGTTGTTTGTAGTTTATATATTTTTTTTTTCCTGGAACCAGATATTATTTAAAACATTCGAGATGGTATTCTGCTTGAAACGTACTGATTAAGTTCTGCAGTGAAGAAGCCCGAACAGCATTACACAGGGGATTTTGGGTGAAGAAAATAATGATGACCCATGGTTTTTTTAAAAAACGTGACATTAATATTGCTTCCTTTATGGCATCTTTTTCTTCTTAATGCAGGAGTCCCCAACGCCCAGGCCGTTGCCCGCTATCAGGTCCGGCCCGTTCAGAACCAGGCCATGGAAGCGTCGGGAGAGCATGCGCGCAGCTCCACTTGTGCACACAATGGGCAAGTGAGTGTGCGCACGCAGCTCCATTTATGCGAGCAGGGGGTGCATGTCCCCACTGCTTACCCGCTACTCGCACTGAATCATCCCCTTTCCCCCCCCCCATCAGTCCACAAAGCCGGAAAGGTTGGAGATGACTGTCTTAATGCTAATATACTCACCTTCAAAATTTCTTCAACGCAATGGGCTTCATTGGAGTAAGACTGCTGAAAAACACAAGGAGGGGAATGGTAAATTCATGAATTACTAGTACATTCCTATACAGAAAGATAAATCACGATACAAAGATTTGATTTACAATATCTATTGCAAGAGAAAATAGGCGTGGTGAATGTCCTGTTTAAAGGCAGAATTTTCTTTCCCTAGTTTCTTGGGTTAAAAGGGGTCCCCCCCACCCCGGTCTTCAATTAAACTATACAGCAAAACCTGCATAAAGACTACAGTTGACAGACATAAGCCCAACAGTGAGCAATAAGTGAATGTGCTATTTAACTGGCTGAAGTTGTGGTGGTTACCTTAACATACACTAATAGGAATTCCTACATGGAGATGATTTATTTCATCTGCAAGTCAAATCTGAGCTTCATGCCTTAAGAAGGAATTTCTTACATCATGCCATCACTGTAGTGAACTATTTTTGCTGTTGCCTGGAAAGCACACAATATATTCACCACAGGAAGCCCCTCTCTTGAGAAATAGCTCTAGTAACTGCCATTAGAGGCTATTCTCCAAAGAATAATCCTGCTTCAACTATAGCTGAAGCGTTTTTTTTTCTGTTTCTTTCAAGGCTTATGCCACACCCCACCACTGCTCAGAATGCTCAGAAATTCACCTCTGTCCATTACACACATGCTTAAATGCTCCAGCCTTCAGAGGGAAGTAATTTTCATCTATAGTACTGAGAATAAGGCAAGTCTCGGCATGATTCCAGCATATTATTCCAACATGTTTTAGCTTCCAACAGTGAATTAGAGCCAACCTTCTTCAAACAGAAGGCAAGTGCTTAAAATTAAGGGGGGGGGGATCTTTAAGAAATAACATTCATAATTAAATATTGTATAAAGCACCAGCGGAATCTAGCAATAACCAGAAATCTAAAACCAAATGTTGGTGAGAAATTTGTGAACCGATATGTACATTTAGAGGAGTCCTCCCACATCTAGTTTCTTCGATTTCTCCCATCTCCTCCACTGCTCATAGCAACCACAATACAACCCTTAATTTGCTGGACTGTGTAGAGCAGTGTTTCTCAACCTTGACAATTTTAAGGCATGTGGACTTCAACTCCCAGAATTCCACAGCCAGCAATGCTGGCTGTGGAATTCTGGGAGTTGAAGTCCACATGCCTTAAAATTGTCAAGGTTGAGAAACACTGGTGTAGAGATTCCTCACCCCGACCCCAACACACAAACTCTGCATCTTTCATCTGTTACATTCTTCCTGCTCCTTTACTCATTTTTGCATGCTTTTTCCTCAGTCCTCCATCTTTCTGACAATCCAGTATTAGATTAACATTAACTTGCCGTTTTCTTATCACTATATGCATTATTTATAAAAAAAATATATTAATGAAAGCTTTCCATGTCTCCACACCAGATCAGCCATTCTAGGAAAGCTCTCCCCAGTGACCAGTCGTTTTTTATTTTTCAACCTAAACTCAGATGGGATATACTGTTTTGTCTTTCTAGTAATTTTATTTTTAGTAATTTTTCATCTTTCCATCTTTTAGCAGCTACGAATGCACGTGAACGACTATAATTTTTGCCTGCAGTAACCATCTTAATCAAACTGCATAGCGGGTAGGTTTATATCCAAACAAAGGTCCATTGTATTTATGAGCCAGTTTGTGAAAGGCAGGATGCTCAAAATAACTCTTTGATCAAGGCAAGGTTATACTTATCATATTATATTTGACTCTTGAAAGGAACTTCAAGCCTAGTAAAGCTACTTGAGGTATATATTGACCCAGAATCTCTTCTGCAACCCCTTACTTCCCCTAAAACAGACATGTCAAACACAAGGCCTGGGGGCCAAATGGGGCCTGCAAAGTGGTTTCATGTGGCCCACGAAGCCATCCTGGAAACACTGAGAGAACGGCCCCCGCTGCCTTGGCCCTGGCCCAGGCCAGCCAGGAGCCAATGTACAATTTTGTGGTGGCCATCTATGCTGAAACACATTCAGTCTTAGCTCCACAAGGCCGTCTAGAAACAGCGAGGAACAAGCCCCTGCCGTGTCGGCCCTGCCCCCTGGGTGCATGCTGGGGAGGTGTCATTCTTTGTGAGGAATGAAGAATGGACCATGCTTGGCGCTTGCCCCAGTCCCACCCCTTCTGCCAGAGACCCTCAGATCTGTCCCACTCCTGCCCAGGCCCCCACAGGCACCCTTGACGCGAACGATGTAGAGCTGGCTATGCCCACCCTGTAAGCCACACCCACTCCATCCACGTCCACCCAGTAGGCCGCACTCATCCTGGCCACACCCACCCGGGCCCCCCGAGGGCAACCGCAATGCTGATGCGGCCCTCAATGAAATTGAGTTTGACACCCCTGCCCTAAAGTGAGATGCATGCTTCCACAGAGCTTTCATTTTTGTTAGGAAAGATAACAAAGGAGAACGGCATAGTTGATATAGACTCTCATATCCAACTTCATAATTGCAAATAGTCAGGAACCATTAAAAAAAAAGGAAAGAAGACTTGGCTGGAAGGTTGGGATCCTGCCCTTTGGATGTCAATTTAACAGTCAAAACGAATAGTATTTTCAGGAGGATGAGTTACAACATTCTCTAATAAGGTTGAGGAAGGTTTCTTCTCTGCTATTGTTTTCAGAAAAATAGTGAGGATATGATTTTGCTCAGATAGAAATGAGCGTATGTTAATTATGGCCTCCTCTAATTCTTCCTCGTTAACCGAGCCCTGAATTAAAGTGGATGTTTTTTTCAAATCAGACAAAGAAAATCAAGAAACCATTTATTACTGTATAACCTTAATCCGAATCTCTCTTTAGAGATACAGAGTCTTGCTTAACAGTATGAATTCTCATCTAATGGCAAGTTTCGAACCAATGGTACTTGGCTAACCTTTCACAGTGTCAACTAGGCCTCCTGCAAATTCTCACTATATCACAAAGTGCTCTTGAACAAACAGCAAGTCTTTCCTTTTGCTCTTCATTGAGTACAGCAAATACACAGGGGCTGTTTACAACACCCATAAAGCAGTTACACCGCCTGGGTTCAAAACACTTTAGTTTCACCACAGACAGAAGTCTGAGGCTTGGAAAGGAAACTGGTTCAAGATATTGCTTGTATGATTTTTATGACCCAATCCTGAAAGGTTATTCCTAGTCATTGTGTTCATTTTCTCCTTTTTTTATTAACTTGCTGAGCCAGTCAATAAAGGAGCCTGTTTTCATGCCCATTAGATAGATATGTGAAGCAGGCAAAAGGACAGCTATTATTGAACACTGTGCACTGCACACAAATTTCCAAGTTTCACAAGACCTTCTCCTGGCCACTAGGCTAAATGTAAACATAGCATATTTTCTCTCCAACATGGTGGACTTTGATTTCTACATTAAGAGAAGAGCCTCTTTGGAAGGAGATGGCAGACTGCCCAGTTCATAGGTGTAAACATTTAAAACTTGTGTAGTCATAAAATCAAGCACGACTCACTTAACATCTGCCTTGCTTAGCAACGGAAAATCTGGTCCCAATTAAGGTTGTCAGTCGATGACTATTTGTTCATACTATTACAAAATATAGTGAAATAAAGTTGCCTTATGTTGCCAGATCACACTGAAGCCAACTGCAGATAGAAAAACATTTTCATGGAAACTGGAGAATACTAGATGGAAGGAGAAAATATGCTTTCTAGGTTCTTTCCTCAAACATTTTTTAATTTGTATGCTGCTGCACCTTTTTGAGTCCAGCTCAACACAGTTCCTCATATACTTCCATAATTATGTACAGGCATTAACACTGCCCAACAGAGATTGGGAATGTAGAAGCCATGATTTCCGACAATGACAATCATAGAAATCCATCCATCCACCCCAAAAATGACAAACCGTAATTAAAAAAAAAAATGTAACATTTGTAAGGGTTCATGAGATCTTTCACTGGTTAATTGTTCTCACTATTAGGAAATTTCTCCTTAGTTCTAGGTTGCTTCTCTCCTTGATTAGTTTCCATCCATTGTTACTTTTCTTGCTTTCTGATTGTGCCCAATTTTAACATCAGAAGCTTTATTCACATTAACTTGGATGCAAGATCCCTTTAGCCAAATCAGTACTGGGGGGACCAGAGTAATTTAGTACCTTCACCAATAATCAAAAATATGTTGGGAGGATCGACATATCCTGACTGGCTCTTCAACACCTCAGATCAGGCCTTTTGTATCATATAATTTCTTTTAACACCATAGGCCACAATATTTTGTACCGCAACACTGCATACTTGGTACTTTGTTACAGGTTCTCCCTCATAACAAGTCTGTGTCGAAGAGAAACAACATTCAGATCTTTCATTTTTCCTAGGCGGGTAGTCCTCAACTTACAATCATTCATTTAGTGACTGTTCGAAGTTACAATGGAACTGAAAAAAATGACATATAACCAGTTTTCGCACTGACCATTGCAGTATCCCCCCCACAATCACATGATCAAAATTCAGGCGCTTGGCAACTGGCATGTACTTATGACAGTTGCACTGTCCCAGGATCATGTGATCACCATCTGTAACCTTTCCGGCCAGCTTCTGACAAGTCAAGTCAATGGGGGAAGCCGGATTTGCTTAACAACCGCATGATTCACTTAACAACTGCAGTGATTCGCTTAACAACTGTGGTCAAAAAAGGTTGTAAAATGGGGCAAAACTCAGTTGCTTTGCTTAACAATGGAAATTTTGGACTCTATTGTGGTCGTAAGTGGAGGACTACCTGCACACTAACCGTTCTGCTTCTTCCCATCCCTTTTCAAAAACAAAAACAAAACCCCCCTGCTCCTGAGATGCTTTGAGGCCAGACTTTCTTGCTCGTTCTCCTTGAGGAGGCACTTGTGTCCTCAAACTCATCCTATACTTTCATCTGCAGAAGTTTCCATCGTCACCACACTTCTGAAGACACATATGTATCTTCAGTTTCGCCTATTCGTTTTAAAAAGGAAACTACACTTCGCCATCTTTTCAGCTTTCACGGTGATGTTAAGAAACTTAATAAAGCAGGGGTGGAGAACTATGGCTCTTTAATGACTTGTGGACTTCAACTCCCAGAATTCCTGAACCAGACATGCTGGCTTAGGAATTCTGGGAGTGAAACTTCACAAGTCATAAAGGGGCCATAGTTCGCC